TTTAGCAATGGATAAACAAAGGAAGAACTACACTCCTTGAGTAGACAACTAGGGATATTGTCAGGCCCAGGAGAGAAAGAAGATTTTAAAGAATTTAAAGCTAAAAGGAGAGAGGAATGGGAAATAATAGGGGGAGGTATAGTACTAGAGGAAGTAATAGTATAAGGGTAAGAATTATTATGGGGACAGACTGAAGAGTAAGTTGATTGAAAAAAATTAGCAAATAGGTTAGCAGAATCAGAGTCATTGCTAGCTTTATCCATCCCGAGAGATTCCCTTTCATGAACCATCTTACGATATTAGCTGTCTTCTATATTTCAATTAGCTTAAAGTGACGATAACACGTCACGTTCCAAATATCGATAGGTTTATGCAATACTCCACTCTAGCTCGATTACTTTTACGATATTCCCTTCCATGAACCATCTTACGATATTAGCTGTCTTCTATACTTCAATTAGGTTCAAGGGTCGATAACACGCCACGTTCCAAATTTCGATAGGTTTATGCTCTAGCTCGATTACTTTTACGATATTCCTTTTCATGAAACATCTTACGATATTAGCTGTCTTCTATATTTCAATTAGCTTAAAGTGACGATAACACGTCACGTTTCAAATATCGATAGGTTTATGCAATACTCCACTCTAGCGCGATTACTTTTACGATATTCATTTTCATGAACCATCTTACGATATTAGCTGTCTTTTATACTTCAATTAGGTTCAAGGGACGATAACACGCCACGTTCCAAATTTCGATAGGTTTATGCTCTAGCTCGATTACTTTTACGATATTCCTTTTCATGAAACATCTTACGATATTAGCTGCCTTCTATACTTCAATTAGGTTAAAGTGACCATAAAACGACACGTTTAAAATATCGGTAGGTTTATGCAATACTCCACTCTAGCTCGATTGCCTTTACGATATTCCATTTCATGAACCATCTTACGATATTAGCTGCTGCGAGCATGGATCTATTTCTTTGGGCTGATTGTGAAGAACTGTAGAAAGTCCCATTTAAAAGATATTTATGTAACAATTACCCAACAACAATTACCTAAGCAAAATTCGCAGTTTGTTTGCCTTTTTGCTTTTTTTTTATATTTTTTTGGGTGTTGGTTGGTTGGTTTTCCATTTGATGCGTATGTATTTTTAAAGTAGAGCGACAAGCAGAAAAATGTTTGCTGCCTTCTTTGCTCAATTGGGCCGTAAGGGGCTAACGAAGGTTAATGCGGCTGTATTTGACCTTTGGGGTCAAGCTGGAGGCAAATTAATTGCGCGAATTGAGAGCGCAATGAGAAATTCAGTTGATGACGACGACGACGACGATGTCGACAATGACGATGACGATGATCGTAATGTATTGTGGAGCGAAGCTTTGGGCTCCTTTGCCGGGGTGACTGTAATTAATACAAATGCAGCAACAAAAACCAACAACAACAACAACAACAACAGCAACAATAACTGTGAACGGGCATTGCCAATTGCAGCCAATTGAATCAATAAACCAAACTGTGAACTTTCCAAGTTGATTTTCAAATGGAAATTGCTTTTGTTGTTGTTGTTGTTGTTGCTGCTGCTGCTGCGACTGCTGCTGCTTTCTGGCACTTCCGCTTCTGCTTGGTGCACTGGGCGCACATTCGCATTCGGCTTCGGATTCGGTTGGCAGGGCCGTTAATTATGTTGACCCACGTAATTTGTAAAAATCAAATGTGGAGCGTGCGGACGTGTGGGCGTCACATAAAAGTGCGCCGTCATCAACGGCCCAAACTGCCACTTGGATATTGTAATTTGCCGCCGCAGCGCACGAGGCAGCGCACGGCCCACGCAGCAGCAGCGCAGCAGCTGCCTCGCCCGTTGGCGTGGCCAAATAGTGTGTATGTGTGTGTATATAGCTCCAGTGTATATAAATGTGTTTGTGTGCTTGTACATTTCATTTTTGATAACGCGCTGCGGAATTGCTCGCCCACGCAAGCCCGGCACGCAAGCAGCGACAGCGACGCCGACGTCTCTTCCAGCACGCCATTCATTTCCACCCGCACCAAGCTGTGTATGCCGTGTGAGTAACAGAAACGACAACTGCGACTGCGACGTTGGCAGCGGCAGCGGCAGTGGCAGCATTTTACGCATTCCAATCAGCCAACAAAAATGCCAACGTGGGCGATTTCCATTTCCCTTTTTAACTGCCACACAGCGGCACCATGTTTATATGTATTGCATATACATATGTATGTACATACAGTACAGTTGTATATAAGCACGTGTGTACGTGTGTTTTGTGTGTGGGTGTGTATCGTAAAACGGCAAAAACTTATGAATGAAAAGCTACCTCTGCGCGTGGGCTGGCAAAGCTTTTGCTGATTGGGGCGTTCCAAGCTTTTGTTTGCTGCCTAATAAAAATTAAATTGCGTACTACAAATGTGAAGCTGATTTTGCTATACACAACAAATATTGATTTACAGTTAGCAAGATGTTTAATATCCACCCCATAGCTCCATAAAACTAATAATTATTGATACAATTATGTATACTATAGACATTTCTAGTGTAATATATGCCATTTTCTATATAAATATATATTTATATGTTTCTTGGCTGTTTAAGTTCTTAGCTGTCTGCCATTTTCTAAAAACAAACAAAATTTGAATTGAACCTAAATTGAATTCGAAAGTGGCGCCATTTTTAGCAGAGACACATTGTAGCCGATATACACACCGTAAAGCTTTAAGCACAGCAAGCTGCCCACTTGTTGCTTTTACCGTAGCCCTGGCAGCGATAGCAAGTGTGGCAGCACCGACATTAATCGATATACGCAACAAATTCCGATATTTTCCATCACTAATGGGTTCATTAGCTTTTCGTCTCGTCTCTCTGCCTCCCACTTGCACAATCCCACTTTTCCCCCCAAAAATCGTTTCTCGACTGTATTTGTATTGTTTGCATTAAAACAAACGGCGTCGAGCGTCGAGGTCGTCTGCCTTGTGGATATACATATACTTGATATTTTGTGAAATAGTCTGCGTCATTTCGCACGCGCCGCCGCCAACTGCAGCAGGCGAGTTGAAGATTTAACAAAAAGTAGCTCAATTCTAATTGCAAAGATGGAATCGGATACGACGGAAAAAGAAAGTACGGCGGCGGGCATAAAGCCAACATCAGCGGAGTTGCAGTCGCTGCCGCTGCAAAGTGAAAGCGACGTGGGTGGCAAGGGGGAAGGCGAGGCGACGCCGCCGCCAAACAAGCGGCAGAAAATCGCGCTAGACGCTGCGATTCCAGATGAGGAAGAGGACGAAGTGACGGACAAGGAGGAGGAGGAGGAAGAGGAGTCGGCGGTGCCACAACTGGTTGCTGTGGAGCGGGCACAGAGCACGCAGAGCAGCTTGCGTAAATTTAGCCGAATACCCGTCTTCATTGTAGACTATCACAACGATGTGCTGGAGTTCATCTATCGATGCCTGGCCACGCGGCATCTGCCGCTGGAGCGGAACATTTTGGTGCATTTCGACTCGCATCCGGACTTGGTGGTGGCTCGCGACATACCTGCCAGTGCCAGCTATGATAAGGACATCATGCTCAACGAGCTGAGCATTGAGAACTGGATTATGCCCACCTTGTATGCAGGTAGGTTGTCACCAGGTCACACACCCAAGACACCTGTTATCCAATCTCACTCCGCAGGTCATTTCGATCGCGTCGTCTGGCTGAAGAACTCGTGGTGCCAGCAAATACCCACAGGCAAGCACGAGTTCAAAATTGGGCACAAGGAGGATCGCATCGGTGTCGACTGTCCGCTGGACTATTTCATAGCCGAGGGCAACTATTGCACCAGCGAGGAGCTGCAGGAGTCGCGCTCGGTGCAGCTGCAGGTGCACGATGCGGACAGCGAATCGCTGGATCCCACGCAATTCTTGACGGCGCAGGATGCGGCGGGCTTTGTGCTTGATATTGATTTGGATTTCTTTAGCACATCGAATCCGTTTCTGGAAATCTACAAAGATGCCAACTGCTATGCCCAGCTGACGGAGATCTTTCACTTTGAGAGCGTGGAGCCCGCCAAGCAGGCCGGCACAGCAACCATTGCGGACTACTGTGCCACGGCGGCGACGCGACAGAAGCAGCTGGACGCACTGAAGCGCATCTTTTGGCATCTGGAGGAGCAGCGCAGCTTTGACGGCCTGGAGAAGCCAGATGAATCAGTCATAACACCACAAATCTATGCCAAAATTGTCCAGCTGGCCGAGCAGCTGCAGGCCAAGTATCCCGACGACGAAATCGACTGGCTGCTCATCTTCGACTCGGGCAGCACCACAGACAACAATGGACTGCCGCATCACATAAGCACCAGCAAGGAGCTGGAGGAATATTTTGCGAATTTTAAACGATTCCTTCAGCGTTTGCCCGTGCCGCCAGTGGCAATTACCATGGCGCACTCGGCCCAAGATGATTACTGTCCACAGGATCAGGTGGCGTTCATCGAGGAGCAGGTGCTGCGACTGCTGCGCGAGGTCTTTGGCGACAAGCTGCACGAGAAGGCCATTCTGCACTACATGGACGATCCGTGGGATGTGATGAAGCTCTAAGCATAATCTTTCTGCCAACTCTGGATCCTATAACAAGTTGCAGCGTACGAAAAAGACTGGACCGAATCCTTTCCCTTTTTTGATTCGACTGACACTTGCTAGAAACTTCAAAGTGATTCCACAACTGCAGCAACAATATGAACTAACCGCATGCTAATTTAAAAGCTACTTATTTTTTATTCATAAACATACGTGACGTATTTATTATACACAAAAAGAGAGAAAAAACACACAGTTGCAACACATATTCTACATTTATACGAAGCGTGATTATAAATTTGACGCAATAAAATCAAAGAGAATTCGATTTGACTTTTTTTCCAATATTTGCAATGTGCTTGTAAACTGGGCGACAAAGCTCATGCTTAAGTAATTACGTTAATGTTCATTTAACAGGGCAATATAGTCAACCAGTTTATATCTTTCAGCTTATTTTATTAAGGAACAATAATTCAGGGAACTTTTCCACTTAAAGTTAACTTCATGATAAGTTTGCTTATAATCACGACACAAAAAAGCTCCGTATAAACGTTGTACACATTATTTTTTAAGGCCCTTCCAGGCCGCAGTGCGGCCCACATTAAATGGGCTGCCAATCAATAGTGGGCAGGTCGTGCCATAACATTTTGTGGTTCAGTCAGTTTTGGAAGCATTCGGAATACAGACAGTAAGTTTTCTACCTTAACTAAATACTCTTTGTTCACTAGACGGCAATGTTTAGGATTGATTTAGAGCTCATCCTCGCTTAGTTCCATATCAACTACAACTCCTGCTTGTCGCCTTTGGTCTTTTGTTTCTTTCGCTCCGGCTGCTGTGTGAGCTGCTCTTTGAGACACTTGCGCTCCTCCGGCCGCTTGAGCACATGATCCTCGCACAGATGCTGCTGTAGGGATTTGTCCTGCTGCAGCTTGAAGTACCAATTGCTGATGGCATCCTCGTACTCCTCCAGCATGTTTTCGCATTGGTTTTTCATCTGGGTGACCTCGACGGGTGGCTTGTCCCACAGCTCATAGGGTATGCCCAGATCGACCTTGACGCCCTTGTCCACCAGGCCGTGCAGCGTTTGAAAGGTCTGCGACATGCCCTTGGCGAATCTTGTGCTGTCCGTGCGCTCCTTGTGCAAATTGTACTCAAGCACTCGCTCGCACACATTCTCCAGGGACTCCAGCAAACGGAGCTCGCTGCGTCGGTATTCGGTGCGCTTCTTGGGACGCACATCGTCCACGGAGTAGCCAATTTCAATGACATCGTGCGATTTGCCGGTTTCGCCCAAACGCGCCTCCAATTCGGCGGCAAGAATTTTGCAGGCTTCACAGCGATTGGCATAGCGCACACCTTGCTCCTCCTCAGGTGTTTGCTGGCCGTCTAAGCCCCTCAGCTGGACTAGCAATAGAAATACAAACAATTGGCGCAACATTTTCAACAGCTGCTACAAAAGTAATCAGAAACCTGACGTGTGATAATTGACATGAAGCTGCATTTATCAATGCGCTTCTTCACCTATTTTAGACATTCACACAGAAGACAAAACTCAAAAGGTCGATTATTCTGTTATCGATAGTTTTAGCTGCACTGCAACTTTTTGTTATTGGGCGCACAATATTCGAAATTGGATACCTGGCTGCCCGTGGCAACGCCACGACAGCCAAAACAAAAATGCTCCAAACCCCAATTTGATAAGAACATGTCTGTGAAAAAGCTGACAATTTCACTTGGAGCAGTGCACAATGTCACATAAGAGATTTCATATGCGCCTCGAACTGCAGCTACATGCGGTTGGTAGCGTTGGATTTGCAAAGAATACCTGATCCTAATCAAAAGCGCACACTTTCTAGCTAACCTGCCCGGGCGTCTGGCTGTGCTCACACGGCTATTTGGAGGCGACTGTCAAGACATTGGGCTACTATTTTCGCACTGGCGCAATGGAGCCACGTTTTCCCATGCTGTGCCATGATCAGTTCACGATGGAAGGTTACTTTAGGAGCGTTAACTCGCTGGACCAGATGCGGCAGATGCTTAACTCGGAGCAGCTGGAGATAACATTGTGGCAAAGTGGACGCCGGCTAGCCTACTACGTGGGCAGACTAACGGACGTAATGCAGCCGCCAATTCCACAACCAAGCTGCGCCCACATCGCCAACGTCCAGCTGCTGATGAAGGCAACATCCGCATTTCCGGGCATATTGGCGCCGAAAGTGGAGCTGTCCGCGGAACTAAGCACGCAGGACAAACAAAGCCGACGCTTTAAAGTGGATCTGGAGCGGCCACTAAACAATCGCCATGTGGAGAGTCGCTGTTTCAGTCGCCTGGAGCTGCCGCGCAAACAGCAAGCTGTGTGCCATGCCAAACAATCGAAATGCTGGACAGGCAGTTCCAGCTGCAGTTACGCACCCACAATGAGCAATCGAATGCCGCCACGCAGGCTCTCCACGTGCTCGAGCAGCACACAGCTAAGTAGTCAATCTCAAACGCTTAGTCAGTGCTCCAGCTTGACGCAGTGCAGCTACGGGTCAGCTGTCGGTGGTGCAGCTGAGCATCACAGCAGTTGCCCCATCTGTCAGGCATACAGTAGATTGTTTGAGAGTTGCTAAAAGGTACAAATACATGCGCTTATATTTAAAATGAACCATATGGCCAGGCTTACAGGTAGACAGAGAAATCGGTTTGGGCAAAGTACAGGGCAATCAATGTTATAATGAGATTGTAGGGCGCAGCACGCTCCAGCTCCTGCGGCTGTAGTTCATTGCGCAGCAGCACACAGGAGCGCGCTATATACCGCAACGTGCTGAACACATGCGGCTCCAAAGGCAGATGGAGACAGACCAGGTTGGCATACAGCCAGCGCGCCAACCAAGCATCGCGCAACAAATCAACTGGCTTGGAGGCGGCGTCAGCAGCGGCGGAAGTGCTTGGCTCAGCGGTTTCAACTGTCGGCTGATTTGGCTCCTGCAGCCACTTGCACAGCAATTCCAGCAAGAGCTCCAAATCGCTTTGGCTCAGGCGCAGCAATGTGCTCAGCAGCGGCTGCTGTGTCCGACAGAACTCCAGCCATTTGTCCACGTCCGTGGTGAGCGGCGGTTCGATGCTCTGATCATAGTGCTGTGCATTCAGTTCCAGACGCAGTGCTACAACGCGAGCGCGCGCCTTGCTGAAGCTTTTTATTTGAGCGTCCCGCCACTCGGGCGTGGGCAGCAGACATCTGTGAGGCGGCATTGGCGGCTAAGGCAGTTACATTAATTAAACACTCAGTTGTTTCAAATCTGTTACGACTTACGCTGTGAAGCATTTCACATCCGTTGGTGGTCACATTATTTGTGATTTTTGTGGAGCGTTTGGTCACGATCGCCGGGCAACGTTTGCGTTCGTAGAGCATGTGCATCAGGTACTCCTCGCCAGTCTGTGGCGGTTTCTGTGGATCAAAACTGTCATCTGGCTCACGTATTTCCAGTGCCTGCAACTGAAATGTTTCCTCATCTGTTGGCTTTTGCATTCTAATGCTTTCTTATCAAGCTTGTTAATTTATTTAGCCGGCAAAACTTGTTTATCGAATCGAAACTAAATCCGTTAGCGATGCGCGTTATTAACCCTGCATTAGTGACCGTTCCCGAGTCACTTTTCAGCAGTGGATTTTAGATACAACAATTATTTGAAGACACTGTCTAATATCATAATACTAAAATTACTATTAATGTTACATTTAAGTGGAATCCGAACATGATAACTGAATTTTATACGTGACTTTGCAAATTATTGCAGGGTTAGAAAGTAACGATAGAAAGTATCGATAGTTAGCGACAGCTTATGCGATATTTTGGGTAACCACTAGGAACAACCCGCCAAATGAATTTATCGATTTAAATAAATAAATTATAAGAATGCACAACCTTTTGCTTTTCTATCAAGCGTTGGCCAAATTAGACGTAAATTTAAACACAAGATGTCCACTTTTACATACATCTTGGGCCAGTATATTTTTAAATGCGTAATTCACATTTATTTAAGATCACATTTAGAAGTGTACGAGAAAATAAACGAATTCATTTCCATTTTATTTATTAATTTTTCTGTGCTCCGCTGACTAATTCTTAATTTATTTATGTAATGCACTCACTCGCAACATTGCTTACGTAATGTGGGCCAATTGTGATATGGTCAAACATAAAAATATTGTCTGCCCTCTCAGCCCCTCTATCCTACCATGCCCGGTACAAACGTAATCAGAAGACCCCACTTGGGCAAAAGTAATAATAGGCTATAAAAAGGTCATTTCTTAATTGTCTTACGAAAACTCAGTTGCCGACAAGGAGCCCTTATTGTCCGCGCGAACAGGACCTTTTGTGTGCCGGCAATAAAATAGTCGTAAGAGGAAACTTGCCCCCAATTAGCTGTCAAGCACAGAGAACAAGAACGCATCCTGAACAACCTGTGGATTACAAAGCTACCAAATAAGCGAGGGCGGCACTATTCTTGTCTTTGCCCTCAGTTCCTTGCTTAAGGCAAGCATCCATTGAATCTGAAAGCAGCTGCCCGTGAGTAGTTACATATCAAAATTGTTTATTAAATTTTGTTTTTACGCCGTTTGCCAAGTGAAGTGCAATTTAAAATTCATTAAAAACAGAACACAGCCAGATTTCAGCCAGGGGCCAGACAAGAAAACAAAAAAAAAAAAACAATAAAAACACAATGGATAGTAAGTGTTGTACATAAATACTGGCAGGTGTGTTTATGTGTGCGTGGCTAAATTATAAAGAAACAATAATAAATATTTTTTTTCAATGGCTCTAATATATATCCCGCAACGTCGGTTTTAAACCGAACAATTAATAACATTTTTTTTAAATAAAATTGTTTTTTAATATTTTTCAGTTTTTGGCATTGAAAACAAATGTGTAGTTTTGTCCAAACAAACTCATTCTTTTGCAGATTCTGACAAATTTACAGAAAAACATAGATGTATAATATTAAGCTATGTACATTAAATATAAATTGGTGTACTTACCATATAAGACTCACTGATCCGCATCAAAAGTCCAATTGAGGCTTCTTCTTGCCAGCATACATCCATGATCTGCATTTCGTACTTTTATATAAATACATCCGCACATTCATGCCAGCACACGATCTGTATCGGTCCGCCTCGCGACTTCAACTGAAGCTGAGCTCCAGTTTGCGGTTGTTTATATACTGTTCGTTCTTCTTCTTGCTATCGTACATGGATGATCTGCATTTCATATTTAAAAAAAAAACACACACATTCACATTAACGCCACCACACCGTCTGTGCCAGACCGCCCCGCGACTTCAACTGAAGCTGAGCCCCAATTTGCTGGCATTTTTATACTGCTTGTTCTTCTTCTTGTTGTCATAATTACATGATCTGATTTTCATATTTTTATAAAAACACGCACATTCACATAAACGCCATCACACCGTCTGCACCAGACCGCCTCGCGACTTAAACTGAAGCTGAGCCCCAATTTGCAGCCATTTATATACTGCTTGTTCTTCTTCTTGTTGTCATAATTACATGATCTGATTTTCATATTTTTATAAAAACACACACATTCACATAAACGCCATCACACCGTCTGCACCAGACCGCCTCGCGACTTCAACTGAAGCTGAGCTCCAATTTGCGGTTGTTTATGTACTGTTCGTTCTTCTTCTTGCTAGCGTACATGGATGATCTGCATTTCATATTTAAAAAAAAACACACACACACACATTCACATTAACGCCATCACACCGTCTGCACCTGACCGCCTCGCGACTTCAACTGAAACTGAGCTCCAATTTGCAGCCATTTTTATAAGCTTGTTCTTCTTCTTGCTAGTATAATTGCATGATCTGTTTTTCATATTTTTATAAAAACACACGCATTCACTTTAACGCAATCACACCGTTTGTACTGAGCTCTTATTTGCAGCCATTTATATACTGTTCGTTCTTCTTGCTTGTGTATATGGATGATCTGATTTTCATATTTTTATAAAAACACATCAGTAAAGGGCCGCTTTGCGACCCCAACTGAAACTGAGCTCTAATTTGCCGCCATTTATATACTGCTTGCTCTTCTTCTTGCTCGTACTCAATCATGATCTGACTTTTAACATCATACCGAGTGCCACCCCGCGCATGCAACTAAAATTGCTGTGCCATTTTCAGCCATTTATATACTGCTAGCTCTTCTTCTTGCGAGCATACATGTATGATCATCCATATGCACTGGGCGGCTTCGCAACCTCAACTGTAAGCCCAGCTCCAATGGACAGCCGTATTTATACTATTCGCTCACCATCTTGTGTGGCGACATACATGATCTTGACTGCAGCAAGAAACAACTTTTTATTTATTTTTTATTATGGTGATTAAATAATAAGACAAATTATGTTATATTCTCTTCAAGATATGAAACAGAATTATTAGGCATTTTCCTTCTTTACTCTCCTTTCCGCTCTTGACTAGCGAGTGCAGGAAATGCGAAAAATGTTGGGACAGGCATCTAGCAGTAGACTTTGTGTCGCTGTCCCTGGCTGTGTGGTCTCTGTTTCTTCACCCGGACGTCTCCTTTGCCAGCCAAGTCACTCACTTTTGTGCGGTGAGGATTTTCCAATTGCCTCGTTGAGTCGTGTAAGTGGAAACAAGCGACAATGTTGTTTTTGTTTTTGTTTGTTTGTATGTTTTGCTGCACTGTTGCAACAGTTTTATGTGCATGTTTTGTGCTTCGTAACATAAATATTCCAGCAGTAGATGGCAGTTTTGTTGTCACAACGCATGCATAAAATATGTGTCTCCAAAGCCCAAAACCCACACACACTAGCAGCGTGTAACGCTGACAATGATATGGACGACAGCCTCCCAAACGGCAAAGTAGAATGTTGTGTGTGTTTACCAAAAAATTATTTATACGCAAATTTTTGTGCTGCGGTCGTCTTTTTGCCCTTTTCTGTGTATCTTTAATCATTTTTAAATGAAATTCGAAAAGGTCTTAGAAACTAAAACTGTGTAGGAGTTTGTCAAATATTATTTTCGCTTGTAAATTTCTATAAATAAACCTTATTTTAAATTCTGCCAAACAAAAGGTTGTTTTAATAATTTTTATGAATTGAGTACATTTATAAATATTTTTAAATGGGTCTACTCTTAAGATTAATTCATTTGTAGACAAATTCTCATATCTGCGTCCTTTCAATTGGCCTCGCTAGTCATACCCCCTAAAAAAAATATATACATATTGCTACATTGCTAGTCTTGGCTGCTCGACAATTTTTCAATTTTCCAAGGCTCGCACGACTCAAGGACACGGCTCAGAGTCAAGGTTGATTCGGGTGCAGAGTCCGTTTTGCAACAAGTTTCAAAAATTCCAGCAACACCTGCCACGTGGCTGCATTTGCTTTGCTCTCAAGGCGGCTCGTATGTTTTTCTTTTTTTTGTATGCGAGTATGTGTGTGTGCTTAACCCACGTCGGGCCCGCCGCTTAACTGCTGCCTACACATCCGCATTCACATCCGTCGCTTTGCCAACCTTGATATCTAAAAATATTGCCAGGCCTAGCCATATCAAAAGGCAAAAATGTTGAGCATTTTTAATGCAAGTGGCGCGTCGGCTAACACAAACGGAGAGGCCGCATAAAATGGACATTTATATTACTTGTACATATGCATATATTTACATACGGAAAAGACATTCTTAGAATGTGTTTCGCCTACATGAAGACTGTTGGTAGACAAATTAATTTAGTTATAGGCTACGAAAGATTTCAATCATAGCTGCAAACCCAACTAACGTTTTTAGTAGTTCGGTTCACGGTTCAAATCCATGTCTCATACTAAGGTACGGTTAGTGGACTTGGTTTTCCACTTTTTGAGTCGACTGTTCTTTATTCAACCAATCCGTTTCGATATATGGTAAATGGTAAATAAAAATGATACTTCCAGGCCTTGGGATAAATATCAACCCAGTTTTTGTTTTGTTTTTCTTCTGAAATTATTTGTTGAAAATTTTTCTGAGAACAACATCAATGGTCGTTTCATTTGAGCTCTGAAAAACATCGATACTCGTATTATATATATGTTTGTGTGACTTACTACACACACACACACATACACACACACGCACACGTACACGTACACTGTATACCACAATGTCCCGTTTCCGGCTAGGGTATTGCCATTGAAATGTTGCCTCTGTTTGCAGCATTTGGTTCTGTTATTCGCTCTGTGCTGTGGTTATTTTGCGTTTAATTATGCACTAGACTCGCACAAAAGCCAAAAATGGCACACCAGAGAACAGAAGCGTCAGTTATTTTTATATACCGTACGCTTTTCATCTTAAGGATATGTTGGAGCTTCATCCATTGAACTGTGTGTTGAGAAAGAAAACTGAATATTCCGCTTTGACAGTTGTTAGCCATCCTTGATAGATGTCTTGCGAGTTATATATATATATATATAGTTTATAGTTTTTGTAGCGGAACATTTATTTGCTCAAAGACTTGCCATTGCTGCTGTGCTAATCCTGTGCTGCTCCCAACTGCGCTGTTTTGGCCATTTCCTTTGGCCATCTTTCGACTTAATTTCATTTGCAGGGCATCAAATCAAGGCAAAAATTGAGCAGAGCTTCCATCTCATTGAGTCTGGTCAAAGCACAAAGAGAGACAAACACAGACACATATGAGCCTTGTGACTGTTTAATTTACTGACAAATCTAATTGAGTTTGCTTAATTATTCAGATTACGATTCGGCAGGAAATGTGCCCTGCAAGGACGAGCAATTTATCACAGAAATCGTATTAAGCTGCTAAGTTCAGCAAACACAGGGACAGCGGAGGTCGAGATAAGCATAATAGATGAGAATTGTTTGAGAAGAAGTCCAGGCTGAGATTGGATGTGGATATGTGGATATGAGCGCATGGGTGTACTCGTTTTTGCCGCTGGGTTAAACGAGTCTGTTTGTGAATTGCACCGCAACATTTGCCAGTTTCATGCTTTTGCAATTTAAACTTTCCATTCCCTATCGAAATCGATTTTATATATGTATGTCTAGTATGCAGGAGTTGTTATGCAAATGAAAGTGCTTGGGCTTTATACCCTATACCTGTGTATCAAACGGGTTAACAGGGTTTATTCTGGTCGAACTATTGTATGCAACAGGCATATATTAGGCACATATTATACAGAAGAATACCCCTGCCTTGATTCTTAATAATTTTTTGGCTTACCTTGCAAACCTTAGACCTTTGTGCGGGATATTTTCCAGTCAAACATTTGCCAAAAGATTGTTTTAAAACATTTAAATTGTATGTGCTATTTGAAGAAATTTATATTCGTTGAAATCTGATTTAAATTATGTGAGCAATAATTTGTAATTTACACATCAGCAGAGAAATTTTAAGAATGTATGTGTTAATAATTTTAATTCTTTCTCCGGCTTTCTCTTGTTCGATTTAATTTGTGTTTTCCCCCGAATACACTTGCGCTTGTCCTTGCTATCAATTCATTTCAGAAAGCATAATTAATCTTCCAAAGGCGTCCTCTTATCTATTAAATTTTTTTATATTTATCAAATGCAATACGAACTCACATTCACAGTTTCCTTGAAATAACATAAAATGAAATTGATTGAATTGAGAAAAGTAAACAATTTTTTTTTTGAAAATATTTATTGTTGCACGTTTCAAACTTAATTCAGTTACGGTTGTTATTTTCCATAGTTTTTTGTTTTGTTTTTTTTTAGTGTTTGGGCCTTGGCGTGCTGCTGTGGCAGCTCTTTAGTGTGGACATTTAATATTTATTTGCATTTACATATTTGCCAGCGTCGCGTTGTATAAATATTTAGTTATGCCAAAAACCCAAACGACAGGCTTTAATTAAACATGAATTAACGTGTTGAGCCTAGGCGAGCCTTGCAATAAGTATTCATTCCAATTCTTAATGTTACATTTTTAATCATTTTACAAATTAGTTATGCATGTTTTTCATTTTAATATAAAAAGAGAAAAAAACTTAAATTTACGCCAGCATTAAGACTTGTATTTTTGTTGTTGTTTGCATTTAAACATTTAATTTAACATTTTTTGGTTTATTTTATAAAACTTTTGCATAACTTTAAAGCCAAGCTCATAGAAAGTGGAAAGTGGAAAAAGGCTCTGAGATTTTTAGAGGTGTGCTTTAATTTTCATTTAATTTTTGTTGTATATTTTTTGTTGTTGTTTATTTTGTAAAATTGTAGGAAAGTAAGGCAGCAAGTTATAAGTGAATTGTGAGTCGGGTTTGTTATTGGATAGAGTAAGGCAGCAAGTTAAGATTAGAGAGATTTTGTTACTTTCTGTATTCAGCAAGTGCTTTGTCACAATTAAGCCGCTTAAATGTACATTTATAAACATTTATTTTTTACTAGATATATTTGTCAATGTATAACTATGAATAACTACCGTAATTATTGAAATTTATGCGTTTTAATTAATTTAATTAAATATTTAGCCATCTAACAACTCAGTACAAATTTGAATAGCTTTTATGCACATCTAATTGTTGAATTTAATGCAATATAATTTTATATAATTATGTTTTAATGCCTTATGCTTATTACTAAACAAAATAATTGCATTAACAGGATATTGAGATTGGAAGGGACATTGTTCTTATTTTGTTTTTATTTAATATACAATTTTTTAGACCATTGAATTAAAATAAATAAATCAAAATATATTAAGAGAATAGAGTTGAAGAAATCAATTTATTTGAAAATTTCATTATTCCTTATATGCATTAATTATTTATTTAAATTTTTTGTAGTAATTAGTGTATAATTTTATTATTTCGTAATATTTTTGACAAACTTATTTTTTAATTTTCTCGAATAAGTATTAACAAACAAGCCAAAGAATTCATATAAAATAATTGATTATTATGCGAGGGTATTTATTTTTTCGAAATCCAATACCAAAATTCACGAATCCTTCCAATTTTCAACCACATAAATATATATAAGAGCATTAATAAAATGTTTTGCAACTATAGCACAATTTTGGAACTCGAAATATGCGTACGAAATATTTGATTAAAATTGTTTTGACTAGAAAATGCTTTATAAACTTTTTATTTGAACCTGCTGCCAATTAATAATGGAACTTTCATAATGGTAAATTCGTTTTTGAAATCAATCATTTTATAGCTCAACAGTTAGTTAGTTAGGCACTTTAAACAATGAAGTTAATATTTTGTTAGTAAATAAGTTTCCTACGCTAAGAAATGCGAAAATTAACGCTTGCGCGTTTTCCTAGCGATTTTGAAGCGCACGCGCGTTTTTAGCAGCGAGCCGAAGCACTTACAATTTATTGATATAAAAATAATTAAATTTAAAATGCTTATTTATGATAATGCTATGACTGCAATTGAAACTCTTGCAAGCGATTAACTTTTACTAGTTTTAAGCCTTGTTTTTAATTTTGTATGAGTGTGTGTGTGGAAATTTGTATATCATTTGAAAAGTTTATCACAAATTTTTCGTTACTGCATTTTACAATTTCCCGCTGAGTGTTAGTCAAAGTCGGCCTCTTTGAGGCCCAATTGGCTCCTGAGCCCCGACAAATGTTTGCCCAGACTGCGACCCGCCGTTGTGGACGACAACAAGAATGGGGTGGAGGCATCCACCCCATTGCTTGGGCTCGTCTGATATGTGACGGAGAAGTCTGGCGTCGGGGCCAGGAGCAAACCTCACGTGCGCACGAATTTGTACACTATCAAGAAGACCATAAACGAGATGGCCACCAGGACCACAGCGGTTACAACCTTTGCGCACGTATTCAAGCCCGATTCGTGCGGATTTAGCGGCCTGGAACTGGTGTGCGTAGCCGATCTCCGGCGCTTGGTGGCCAGACCGCGCGCCAGCGCTGGAAATGCCAGCGACTGTGTGAAGGTCAATTTGTGTATGGACTCGCTTAGCGAGTAGGGACCCACAGAGCCGCGCGCCGCCGCCCGGAGCAGCACGTACTCCAGATCGAGTGCATCGAAGAGTGAATAACGGGCGGTCATTGTCGAGGAACGCCGGCGTCCATCGTGTTGATGTCCGTGTCGCGAGTCACGATCGGATTGTGGCTGCAGCCAAGGATCGGAGACTCGCTGCTGTGCGCCCGCCGCCCCGACAGCATAAGCGGAGGAGGAGCAGGCGCCGCTGCTGGCGGTGGCAATGCCGCCACTGCTGCCACCACCACTGCCACCCACACCAGCGGCTGCCACGCCCCCGCCCAGGCTGACCGCTGCCACGGATGTCAGCGACGACGTCGTCGACGACGAGGCCGAGCACAAACGCAAATTGGTGGCCAGCCCATTGTCATGAAACTCATTTGCATCCTCAATGGATGTCTGATCCGGTGAGGTTTGCGCCCGCTCCAGGGCCGCCGCATGCTTCATTCTGAGCGCAAATAGACGCGCATGATCCGGATGGAGCAGCGCACTCGATTTTCGCCGATAATTGGCAGCTCCGCCGCTGGACACCACACAGATGCTGTTCCGCATGTGCCGGCGACCCAGCGACAGATTCGGTGAGCCCTGCGTGGGCGTGCTGGTCGGCGACACATGACACGATCCGCCGCCCGTTTGGCCACTGGGCAGTCCATGTACGCCCGGCGGCGCTATGAACGCATTCGGTGAGGGCGATGCCTGCACAGAATCTATTCCAGAATCGCCTGCGTGCAGGGTATCACAGTACAAGGAGCTGCGACGCTCTGTTCGCAGTGTCAGGTGATTGTTGCTGCGTCTGCTGCCTGAATTGTTGCTGTCGTTGTTGTCGTTGTTGTTGCTGCTGCTGCTGGTAGATGCAACATTGGTGCTGCCGACGCTCGTCTCCACAATGGCGGGAAAGATGAAAGATTGGCCATCCGCTTCGCCGCGCGGTGAGTCCTGTAAATGGCAAAATATTTTTAGAGAATCGACAGTTGAAAGGTGCTCCTTGGGTGCACTAGGAAGATTTTCGGGGATTCTTAAGCCATATGTGCTGGGAGCAGCTGTGGGAGGCAGTTTTCATTTCGTTTTCTTCTTCTTTTTTATTGTGTTGGTTGCTTTTATTTAGTGAATTGGTGAGTGTGTAATAATAGTTTAACGGTTGTACTTGTGTTTCTTATAATTATATACAAAGTGAGAAGTTAAATCTGGGATGGTTTATATTGTGTGTGTGCCAGGATTAATCAATCGATATGTCTTTAAGCAACATTTAACAAAAACTCAAGCAAAATAGAGGACATTATGAACGTGTCCCTTTTATTTATTAAAATTCAATTGAAAAGTTTATAGTAGAGTTTGATTAAATTTCAATTGACAATTCGTTGGAATATACATTTTTTTTAACATTTGACATAAATTCGTGTCCAGCAAAACAAAACGAAAACGAAAATGTATTTCATTTAATCCCATAAAACAAAACTTTTCTGCTTGATAAAACGCATCGAATCACATTTTAATTTCCGCGGGCTAAAAATTCTTTTAATTAATATTGTTGAGCCATAAAAAAAGTTGAAATTAAATAAATTAAATTTTTTACTTATTGCGAAATATTTGTAATAAGTAATCTGATTCGTATGTGGGGCTAGTGTATATAAGTGGTTGTTATTGTGGCCAAAATGATAATAATAATAAAATCAAGAATATTTAACAAATTTGAAAAGCGTGCAGAGAGAGTTTTGTATATTTAAATCACAACAATAAAATATCTAAAAAAAATATATTTTATTTTCTATTATAAAAATAAACTCCGAATGTTGTGCTTGGAAAATGTTAAAAAATATACGACAAAAAGAGCCAAAAAAAAACGTAGTCTAATTAATAAACATGTTTAAATACGCAAAAACCTCAAGTAATAAGGGTAGGCTTAATTTTGGTTTAATTTTTTACACAATTTAGTCAAAAAAATGTTCTTTGGCAAGGCGAGCGAGAAGCTCGTGACATTTGAATATTTATATATATGTTAATCGAGGCATGCAAAAAGTCTACGATTTAGTTGTTAATAGTAGAAGTAAAAGTAGCAGTAGTTGTATTAGTATTGGTATTAGTTTTAGTTGTATCGAGTATTAAAAAGAGTAAACTAGAGAGACTTGATGTATTATTGGAACGAAAGCATACCCGCTGGCCCTCGGGGCCGCTGTTACGACGCAACTGTACGAAGCCCTCCTGGCGCAAAAGCGGCTACCAAACCAGAAACAAACCGGCAAACCAGGAATCAAAATCAAACCAAACACGCAACGCACACACAGAAACACATTGTATAGTATTTGTTGCACAAGAGGCAGATGGTTTTGTTTTTTTTTTTGTATAGGCGAGAGGGAGGGTGAAAGAGAAAAGTTTGAAAACAAATTAACACAAAACGCACAAAATAACCTCAACAAGAAAAAGCAGAACAAAAAAATAAACAACAGAACGTGAAACAGAAATCATTTTTCGTTATCCGAACTGTTGCTGCCATTTTCAGAGTTCACACACACACACACACATACACACAATGACAGATACACACACACACACATACACATAAAAGAAAGAACTGTGTGTGTTGGTTGTGCCTACCTGGCTGGGCCACACCTGCAGCAACGGCAGCGAACAGGATGGTTTGTTGCTACTCGATGCTCCATTGCCAGCTGCAGCTGCTGTTGCCGCAGTGGAGGATGAGGTGGTGCCCGACCCCTGGGAGAGGCTCGTATAGTGCAGATGATTGAATCGCTGTGCATCGCTGCTGGCTGGCTTTGTTCGAGTCGGACTCTCATAGCCATTCGAATCCTCCGAGGATGTTGTTTTTGGCGAGCGCCAGAATCGCTTTAGGCGCAGTTCGCGCCTTTTTTCTTGTTTCTGCAACGGAAAGATAAACAAATCGAAATCGATTAAGACAACTGAATCGATATTTCTTTCAGATCATGTTACTATAACCAAAATAAACAAACAGAAATCGATTTAACAAACGTTTTTTGGAGTGTGTTTAAATATCAAACATATTGAGTGTAAATGTAGGCATCTGTTACTTTTTGTTTACTTTAAGACTATGCAGCTTGTTAGTTAATCATATCGTCAATATCGTTATGCTCAAAAAGATCGGACAATAAACACCGGAGTGCTAATACATATAATTTTCTATAGTGTGGGCCCGAGCACGGTTATTGTCTTAGTTCGACTGGAATACTCTCTCATATAATAATCTAAAATCATTTTTATTAAAATAAAATTAAATATTTCGGGCTTTTAAAATGAGTACATCAAATATATCCTAACAAAAAAGGATTAATGTAATTTTTAATATTTATTTAGATGGCCCAAGGTCCGGAGTTTATTAAAAAAAAAAAATTAAAAACATATTTGTTTTAATATATATTATATATTAATGTATAGTATATATTAAATAAAAATAATGAACGAACTTTAAAATAAAATCCTAACCTTTTAAAGGATATAAAGCAACAAATGTATAATTGCTTTAATTGATTTTTTTAAAATTAATAATTTAATTGCATGCTGGCGCTATTAAATGAATTGGCTTCATTCAGACTATGTTCAATTAAGGGTCCGATGAAAGAGGAGAAAGCAAACTGAAAGTTTCGTGACCAATTTGAAAGCACACTTTTTGACATATCACGATAAGTTAACACGACAAGTTAGCACGATTTGTTATCACGATATGTTATCACAGTTCTAAGTAGAGCTGCCTTCTGTTGCCAATTTTCAACTGACCACAATTTGTGTATGTGCGCGTGTGCGTGTGTGTGTTAAAGTGTGGTTGTTGTGCGTGTTGAACAAACCGAAATGCATTTTTGTCCGTGGCCAATAAATATTTGTGTTTGCCCCGTTGCCAATGCGAGACTCTGACTCTGCACATACATGCACTCATACGGCAGACACGTATTTATTTATGTGAAACACCTGTCGGCGCTTTTCCAATTGGGATTTCGCCCATTCTGTTGTGTTATTATTTTCAATTTAAAGGGAGCTTTGTGTTTTGTGCGACTTCTTATTGCAATTTATGTGTGTGTTGTTGGACTGCATTTGTGCGCCCGTCCACTGCGGGCTAACGAAAAGCAGAAAAACTATCGCAACTTTTTAAATGATGAGTTTTAAATTCGTCAGCCACATTATGGTTGCAGATAAGGAAACATCATACTTTCGTTTTATTTAATTTTTTATTACATTTTAGAAGATTTAAAGGAATGCACAATTATTCTTTGAAAATGAGTTTAAGTTTTCATAATGTTTGTATATGACTTGCGAATTTTAGGCAGAATGTTAATTGCATAAAATAACTGCAACATTGCAGCTTAAAATATTTAGAGGTTCCAAAGAACCAACAAGAGCTTAATATTTATTTTCATTTGAAAATGCACATATATGTGGCTTCGTTGTTCCCTTGAATGTAATACTATCCTTAAATATGATGTAGTCCTTAAAATAAAACTAATTAATTAAGCACTCGAGCGCGAGTTGCCGGAACCTGCAAATAGTTGACCGCTTCTGCGTGTTCTGAGTAAAAAAAATAACCATTTGCAGCTCCCCATGGCAGTTATTTATAAAAGAGTGCATAATTATCAAGTTCTTAAAATAACTGAAGCTCGCTGCAATGTGATACACAATTACGCTCTGCCTTTTGCGGTTTATGGTAACAATCTAACTAAAATTTACAGTTTAAACTGCACTGAAATAAATCATATATACTTAGTATGTAAAATTTTAAATAAATATTTACATAGTTTCTAAAATGAATTAAAACGTCTTTTTAAAATAGCTTATTGCGAAATTGAAGGCATTGCTGTAGACATATTTACCTGCATATTTTTTGAATATCAAATCCTTTTTATATGTTTGGCTTTTCATCCCCAGTCTGTTGTTGGCGCAAGATGAAAATCGATGGAAAACTGCACAGGCATAAATTCTGTAAAAGAAAAATAGAAAGAAAAATATAATGGGTTGAGCGTTAAGCAAGCAAGAGAGTCATCGTCATTCGGTAGCATCATGTTGTCTCCAAGGAGCTGCATCATGCATTCAAAGGGGAATGCACATACATACACACATGAAAGACATTCAACATTTCAATTACTCGCCACATACAAACAAACATTTCACATGTTTTATTCGATTTAAGCAAGCTAGCAAAGGGCATAAATAGAAAGGAGCTCGTCAACGGCGTCATTTGCCGGAGCAGGAAACGCGCCTTGACTGTCGCACATTAACACATGACAAGGACAACGGAGAAGGGAGAATGGCGACGATGCCATTAGTGTACGACAAGGACATTCGACTGAAACAACAAACAAACGCACGGCCATAGACTAAAGGCTACCGCCCCACCCCACCCCATCCCACCCAGCCAGCCAGCTGTTGGTCAAGTTGAAGGGCAGGCTCTGCACATCTACTACATGGATGAACGCTTCCAGGAAAAATAAATCAGCAATTGCAGCCCCAGCTGCTTCTTCATAGATCCTGCTGCGTCTGGTTTATTGGATTTGGTCAGGGCTTTGCCTTCGATTGGCCTGGTAAGTGCTCCAGTTCGAACTTGATGCTCATAATTAGTTTGGCAATTGCGTAGGCACTGGCCTTCACTGTCATTGGAAATGCAATAGAAAATGCCACTTTATACAAGCAGCAGGTCTGGTTCACTTAAAGAACCGATGAAGCAGCAACCAAGGTTATCTATCAGTTCTAATAGCTTTTCATAAAAATATTCATCCATAAAAAGTTTATTGTTATTTCATTACAATTTAAAAAGTCTTTTCTTTTTCATTTAAAGTTAGAAAAAGATGTGTTCATAAATAAAAAATATAACAAAGTTAAGACGGAAAAAAGCTTGAAAGCCAAGCAAAACTAATCTAGTTAAGAGTAATCGACTGGAAGACATCCTTTATATAGATAACACAAAATATATAACTCTCGCTTAAATTCATGAAATTCGCATAGAAGGGCGAGAGTGAGAAAATAAAGTAAAATGGGAAATGTATTAGAGAGAGCGAGAAAGAGGTAGTAAAACAGTCAAAAGCATATAAGCTAAATACATAATGCTAAACATAACATTAACATTTTGGAAAGCAATGCTTGAGATCGTGAGAATCGCATAGAAGACCTATACGTCTCTAGCTATCAAGGTCTGAGATCGACATAGTTTATAGTTCTGATCAGAAGTCTAACTAAAATCGTAACAACACAGTAATATCGTTTTCAAGGGTATACGAAAAAATATAACAAATTTTTGTCCACCTGCGGCTTGTTGACTAGCCGCCGTATATTGTCTACAAAAAGTAGCAATAACCACAACAAACCAAGTTGACAGTTCCCACACAGCAGGCAAGTGGTTTCACCTGACTTGGCCCAATACAGCTAGTGTTTATTGCATTCCATGCCGATTGAAGGACAATCCGTGGTTCCCTCAACCTCAGCCTCGACCTCAAACCCAGGATATATAAAAACATGCACGTTTTTGCGTGCGTTTCATTCCAAGTAGTCCGACGTCCGAAGTCGGACTTGAGGGATCCTTCATTGTTGTGTGCCGTCCGGTTGGCCATTGTTCTGCGCCATGTCAATCGATGTCAACAAGCGCTCACAGTGCCATGGTCAAGGATTCGGCTGCAGGAGTTGCTGTGAGTGGCCTGGCCCGGCATATCATTGATATACCGTCATAAATCGTGGGTATCCTTTCAATTACGGCAGCGTCGCAGCTAGCGCCATAAACTTTTTAGTCCAATGCCTGTCACGATAATGTCCATTTCTTTTGTGCCGCGTCCTTGGAGCGTGTCATGGCATAAACTAAACTGAACGGGCCAAACTTGGGCTCCTTGCACGTCTGATCCAGCCAGTTGTTGTCTCTCTCTCTCTCGATTTGCCTGCTCTTAAGCTCAGCAATTATACAAATGGCCACGCCCCCATTCAGGGGAGGGAAGCGATGTTGAGCGAGCTGTTAGCTCGCTTTTTGTGTTGCGCGTGACGAATATTTTTAAATTGAAATAAATTTATTGTGCTCCTTGTTGTGTGTATGCACGCCTTGTCGCCTGTTGTCCTTGTTGTCCTTGCTGTCCTTGTTGCGCACAGACACACATACACACACATATATATATATCTAAATATGCATATAGTATCGTTATCGTGTTTGCTTAACGTGTTTTTTTTTGTTTGTTTCTTGCCGCTCGTTATACATCTTTTTTAGTTTTGTTTTTGTTTTATGTATTTGTATTCTTTTTTTCGGCATGTTTTTGAATTATAAGCAAATTTGTTGCCCGAGGCCAATACAGTTCTGGTTTCAGCTCCCAGTTTGCTAATGTCAAAGGTCAGGGCCATAGACAGCACGTGTGAGTGTGTCTGGGTTAATGCAAGGACATCGCAATAATGCCTTTGCCACTAGCACGGTGTCCTGCTACTCCTGCACGCCTCGGTACAATATTGACAGCTAAGCGGCCCGGGCGTCGTCCTTGTCTGTCGGATTCCCCAAATTATATTTAATAAGCAGCAATTATGCATAATTAGCATGCGGGCAAGGACATTTGGCGCTCGATTTCCCTCTGACCGGTTGGCTGGCCTTTTCCTAATTGAATGGCCACACGTGATAAGGCCTCGGGCGATTCCACTTCTCTATGAAAAACTCAAACAATGCCAACCAGACAAAGCAATTGAAATTTTATTACACGCCATTTAGTCAAAGTGCCCACAACAAATATATAGGTGCTCACGCACACACACAGGCGCAGACACACACGTGTTAAAGTAAATTATTTATGTAGCCCGTGTGGCCAACAATGTGCTTTATATACCCTCTGTGCTGGCGACAATTAGGGTATATTCAGCCTGTATAAGAACAATTGTAATGTCTAATTTATCTAAAATTTATTTAAAATAAATGTCCCTGTAACTGCCTATAAATAACTAATTAAATTAGCAGACTGACAAGTAAAAACTATTTTGCAAAAATAATTATTCAATTTATATTTTATGCATGCATTAACTATATTAATCGACACGATAATTTATTATATATTATATAATAATTTATTGACATAAACGTTCCGTCTACAGGGTATTTGCTATTCCAGCACTACATTCTTATTTCTCTATTAAATGGCGCATTGCGTTTTCGTGTGCAAATTATTGTTGCATACTTTTGCGGGCAGCCAAAGTCTTTGTTCGCTGTTGTTCGTTAAGACGCGGTGTTTACTGTACGGTATACATATATATCTGCATGCTATTGTTTTACAAAGTTCAGTGAATGCGTGCCCTGAACCAACAGAATTTAAGGCAGCTATTAACTTCTCCTCTGGGAGTCAGTTGGCTGTGCTGCTCCTACCCTAATTTATCAAATTAAGTTGGGTCAAGCTAATCAAATCGGACGTTGACCCAGGAGTATAGTTTGCCTAGTCTAAGGGCTCCCAATTGACATCTATTACTAACCATAAGCGCACCCAAACCCCAATTTGTTACTGGGGGTTGACTGCAGACCCAAACAACAAATTAGTCCAACACCCTTTAAGCGCTTTAATCCCTCAAAAAACAAGCGATAAGAATCTCATACATTTGTAAAATGTCCAACGAAAAACCGATCATTTGCTGAGGCATTTTAAAAGCACTTAAATATGTTTACCTGGTTTGCTTTCATCTTCTTTCATTCTGTCAGCAACAGCTTAAAGATTAGCCTGTGATTAACGTGTACGGTTAAAAAACATTTTGTCGATGACTGAGAAAGTCTTGTCTAATCTCAATTAAGTACAATCATCAGGTTTAAGCTTTTTGCTTTTCATCTCTTTTGGCATCTTTGTCTGGTTGAGTCATGTATTCAATTATAAGAATTTAAATTTTATTAATTTACTCATTGCTCAACCAATACGAGGAATATTCAACGTTTTTGTGCCGGAACGATTTAAGCAGCCCAACTAATCTAATCTAATAAACTAAGATTAACTATTTTTTTCTATAAACAGGGTAAGAAATCGCGATAATGCTTAATTTCGGTTTTTTTTTATATCCGTCTTTATATATAATCTTGTAGAGGGTTTTTATAATTTTGTCATGAAATGTGTGTAGAAGGAGAAATCTCCGACCCCATAAAGTATATTTATTCTCGATCAGCATCAACAGCCGATATAGTCATATGCATCTGTCTGTTATATGCGAACTAGTCTCTCAGATTATGATCCCCATATATATGCAAAATCTTATCAAAATCGGACCACAATATCACATAGCTGCTATATGAAAGATCGCTGGAATGATTAGGTGGATATCAAACAAATGATGAGGCAATTACAGGTGGACAATTACAGGTGCCCGGCAACACTCGTGCTTCATGCGAAACTTGAATAAATCAGTAAATGCTGATAGAAGTTTGCTTAAATACCAGAAATCTTCACAAATTGTATGCACCCATGCTGAAATTTGTTTGCTTAAATCTGGTACGCTTTGAGCAAAGCTCCCACAAAGCGACTCACTTTCATGCGTTTATTAGAGGGCACTTTGAAAGGACTTCACCTGCCAGCCAGTTAGTGTATTTCATCTTTTACGCGTGCAGCGCCAATGGAATTATTTTTTCCGCACAATTGAGCGCCAATTCAGCTGGCAGCCTCAGAAGCACAGTTTCCATTTTCTTCATTTCACCATTTTTCTTTTATTTTTTTCGCCCACCTTTTTGCTTTCACTTGCTTTCTTCGGCCCGTGCGCGACGTGCAAATGGCGCAGCTGTTTTCTGAGGGCCGCTTTATGCAAAAGCAATTAACTTAACTTTTTTTTTTTTCACCTGGCCATTGGCCACCTTTTTTTTTCTTTGCTTTTTGCACGTTTACCTTATGGAAGAGCTTTCTCTTACAAGTAAGTATAAATTCAATATAAAGGCACATTTTGCCGGCTTGAAATTTGCATGGCAAACGGGAAACGGCGTCGTCGTCACGGAGTAGCTTAAAATAAAGGCGACCAATTGACCCGTTTGTGGGTTTTTGTGGGTTTCTTTCGTTTTAAGGGTTTCTGCAGCTATTGTTGTTGTATTTTTCTGTTGTTACTGTGTGTTGTCCGGTATTAACATTTTAACACATTTTATAGCCGAAACGTGACATTCGTTGGCATCAAGTTACACTTGGTCAGAATGCGATTCGAAAGGAAACCCCACGAAAACGTGGCAAAGTTTCTCTTAGAATAACTCTTTGTTTTGTCCCAAATTGCGTTCCCTACCTCTCGTCTGCCTCATGCGTCATAAAGTTATATTTTTCTGGGTTGTCATAAGCCAGCTGACTAAATATTATTACAAAACCAAGAGATCAATTTGCAGATTTTGTCTGCATTGTAACAAACACGTTTATTTGAACACCAAGCATGCATTTGCTACGTCTTGCAAGATCTTTTTTAAAATATATAAACTATTTGCTGACATTAGTTAAGAGTTTGTTGTATTCAACAAGATTAATATGTGGAAGTCCATTCTGCTCGGTAGTTTATAATTAGTCGCAAAGGTTTTAATTAATACAATACTTAATTGTTCCATGCAAAATTCCATTACTATATATCTCGGTTCTACCAGTACTTTTTTGTCCATCATTGAGTACTAAAGTTAGGTACCATTTTTAATTTGGAAACCCTAAAAAGTATGCTACGATCTTGTTTTTATTAAATGTCTAATAAACTCAATATGGAATTCTGCTTTTTTGCTAATATAATTAAATTATTTGCACTTAAGTTATTACTTCATATCTTCTAAGGAACTTAGTCCATCAATGAGTACTAAAACGAAAGTTGGGACGAATTTTTCATATGGAAACCCTCAAAAAGTATGCTACGATTTTATTATCAGTAAAAGTTTGATATATTAAATATGGAATTATTTCTGTTTGCTATTATAATTGAATTAGCTGTGCTTCATTACTTCAAGCGAATTTGAACTTGGAAAATGTGAGTAGAAAAAACTGTAGAATGGAGGGTTATGCTTAAGCCTGTGCGATTTTGCGCAGGGTCAGGGTATTATAGTGTTTCGCATTCAGCTCTTTTTATTCGAATTTCCTGTGGCACAAACACGTGCAGCATTTGTGGCAGCTGGTAGTTTTTTGTTGTTGCTGTCCACGCGGTTAGCTGCCGTTCGGTGTGGCCGCTGTTGTTGGCAACGCCGCAACTCATTCGTTGGTGGCTGCGTCAACCGGAAACGCCAAACACTTTCCGGTCACGCAGTTTGGCGACTCTGCCGCCGCCTTTGCCCCGCTGCCACAGCCTCAGTTGTTGTTGCTGCTGCCGCCATTGTGTGCGCTCTCAAAAAGTCTCGAGCAGTCACTTAAACTTAAGTGTTGTTGTGTGCCAACCATTTTGTGGCCACCACAATAACAGCAATGCTTTGAATTGGGGGCAACTCAATTTCTATGCGTGGCACGAGGCGACTTTTGTGCCCTGCCAAAAACTTATGCCCACAACAACAACAGCAACAACAGCGAGTACTGCCTGTTGCCAGAAAAGTTGCTCGTTGTCGACTTTAGGGTTTACAACTTGTTCTTCTTGCATGCAAAATGCGATAAATTGGCTTTTAATTGATAATGCAGAACAAAAGATAAAGGGTCTGCAAAGGGTAAAGGTTTGCCTTTCTCGACGGATTGACTTCCGGTCTATCAATAGACGACGCTGAGTGCTTTTAACAAGCATATTATATTTATTACTCTGCCCATTATATAAACTGGCGGCGCGGATCGCAATTCGACTTGGTCGTTGTCAATCCTATCGTGTCGCTAGCCCCTCTTGCCCTTATCTTAACAAGCCAAATGTGAAAGTGTTAAAGTCGCCACGACTACGTGGGATCCAGGGGGGGGGGGGGGGGGGGGGACTGGGGCCAGACGTCAGTTCACAGTCTCGTGCGAAGAACTAATAAAAACAAAGGCCAAGTTTTGGCCAGGCTGTCAACAGTTGGCGAGGGTGGCTTGTGCAAATACCTTACCATAAATTATGAACAACGAAAATATCTATAAAGATTATATTAAATGTTATCTTAAATTTATGTGAATATTTAAACATATTTCCTAAATAGAAGATAGTTGGTGACTAGCTTGCCTTAATTTATATTCTTATTTATATATATAGGTAAATATGTACTTACCCGGAAATTCACATCTACACGTATGATTATTTCATTGCCTTTTTGCAAAAGGGGTGATATATATTTTTATATGATTGGATCACTAAAAGAATAAAAGAATTAAAAAACTGATTAGTGTAAGACAAGGGAAAAAGAGAAAATACACATACATATTTGCGTATGTACATATATACATATGTGCATATAAAATAAATTCTTACATATTCATACATTCATAAATATACCATACATGAATACTTAGTCAAGCTTGCAAAGCATGGAAACATGTAGGGCTAACTTGAATTCATGAGAATCGCATAGAAGAGCAAGATTTAAAAATACTTTTTGTATTAATTTATATCGTTGGAGTGGTACGTTTTTCGTATACACTCATACACGCACACAAGCCCACATACATTCAAACAGAAAATCACAAAAATGTATTTATACATGGAACAATTTAAATCTTCACTTTCCATAATTTATATCGCAGTAGAGGTAACTGTGAAAACCCTTTTGTATCAATCGAAATGAATTCCCGAAAGCAGTCAATTAAATTTTAAATAACATTTTATATGTTTAAAAAAAAGATCGAGGTCGATTGGACTAAAACATTAAGTGGCTATGATGAGTTTAATTTTTCGCTCGTTGGATGGACTTTTAAATATCAATCAAATTTGTATATATATTATATTGTAAGGTTAATTAAACTTTTAAAAATTCCAAGTCGCCCTTCTCTGCGATTCTCAAACAAGTTGAAATGAACTCAATGTCAAGTTACAAAACTTACACAACTTTTTTACGGAGAAAACTCGCTTGCCTGATGTTGCTATTGCCTGGAGGGTCTTTGTTATAACCAAGGAGATTCAGAAAATACCGCACCACCAGCTCCCCAGTGCAACTGTCCAAAGACATTTGACTTTGGCTTTTGTCGTTTTAGTTGTTGTTATCGTTTTATGCCATGTCTATAGAACAATGGCACAAACAATGACCGAAAGTTGATTTAAGTTGATGTCATTTTGACACGCTAATATGGCGTGGTAACCAGGTCATAATCTAAGCATTGTTTCCACACTACACACCCACACACACACGCCCACGCTCATACACTTTAACACGAACAGACACACAATCAATTTGGCATATTGTTGAGCAAAGCAAGAATCTAAACTGCGTCTTGCACTTGACTGCGCTTTACCAACATCCCGAACATCCTTTGGCATTCAATTCAATTAAGTGAGTTTAACTTTTGCGCAAAAAGTTCGATTGCTGCTTGCCACGCCCCAGCACGTCGAAAATCTATCTGCCACTTCTAATTGTTTTCATTTGGACTCATCAAGGTTGCCGCTTCGATGATGTTTGACTTTCCATTTGTATTTGTGTTCAGATTCACAAATGCAACGTGTCTGTGTGTGTGTGTGTGTGTGTCTGTGTCCTTGGGCATCTGTTTTCAATTTGAGGCATGTGGCAATACTTAAAGTGTAACATTCCTCGCCTAAGGTTAATTGAAAATAACATTTTTTGTGGTCGCTCGCTGTTCAACATTTTAATTTCAACTCATTTTCTTGTAGTATTACAACCCCGCCCGCTTTTGTTAAATTTAATTTGCGCATACTTGGAAGCGAGTGTCAGCATCAGTATGAATGCCCATGCATGCCACAGACGCCCGGCAGTCTGCTGTATATTACAATGTCTGTTACATGGTCGTGACATAGCCAGCCCATCCTCTAGAGTGGGGCATGGACACGGCTGACAGCTCTATGCATTAAACTGAAGCCATTCGGTTTATATCTTAACCCATAAAAACTGCAGCATCATATAAAGAACTATTTGTGCAATAAGGTAGTACAGGCTGGGGCGTTAAGAGAGCGTTTAATTTGTTAAAATTGAATTTAAAAATTCAATTATTAAAACATTTTTATAATAGCAATCAGCTTAAAGCAAAGGTCAACACTTCTGTGATGCCCAAAGAAAGGGTATTCAACGTTTGCCACAAAGCATTTGGAGCTTCTATTTTTTCCACGAATTGAAGTTTTTCGTAATCCTTTTGCAAATGGTCTGGTTGCTATTTTCTGCTACGGCAATTAGCAACGACAGGCTCTTGGGCAGCTGCTGTGCAGCTGTCGCTGCTTTGTCAATTTGTTTGCGGTTTAAGCCAACTCTCATCCGTTTGGCTCTTAATTATTTATGCAATTGCAGTTGTCAGCGTTGCACTGCAGATTAATTGTGTATAAGACCGAAAGGCAGCAGGAGCATAAAAGTGTAAAAAAAAAACAATTCAAAGGGAAAAAGTGCTGCTGTTTTGTGGCCTTAATTTGCTTAAACAGGCAATTAATATGCGTGGCAACGCTGTAAACAATGCCGCTCGGGAATCGGCCAATTTGTGGCCCTTAGCCCAACCACGCCCCTTACGCATGCCCCAATTCATTTTGCTAATGGCGCGAGCATAAGCAAATTTTGCTTGTCTCTCGTTTGGTTTCTAGTTGGCGCCATTCGTCACAGTCATGACGTTGCGCATACGCCACGTAACTTCGCCCTTTGCTCTGCTGCTGCCTCGTCTTCTATCGCTCCGTGTGCATTTTTAATTAATTTAATTAGCTTTTCGCGGTGCAATTTCAGGCCACACGTGCGCAGGTGAAATTGTTGTGGTAACAGCGGTTAGCCAGGATAATTATTTGGCAAGTTTAATTTCTAGTTTGCAATTGCAATTTGCATGTTTTATTCATTGTAAAAGGCAAAAACTAGAAAAAAAAAATAAAATGGGAAAACTAAGTCTGGCGTGAAAGAGTGCGTTTTAAAAGAGAGAAATAACGTTAAGAATCGCAAATAAAATAACATTATCTAGCTTAGAATAACCCAAACCTCATATCTTTTGATCGCAAGTATTCTACTCTTGTCTTATTATTCAAAGATGTTTGAGAAATCAAGGCAGCAGAGTTTATTTAACTTTATATAAATCGTTCGTCTGATATATTTGAATATTTATTGATATACACAATTTATGAAGATCAGGAAAAGGGAAGAGTTACTCAATTGTATAATGATTTAGAAGAGCCAATGGGTTTTAGGTACGTTCGTTTCTTTAATTAAATTAGAGGATTGCGAACTTGTCCGACAAAGTAAATTCTCTCGTCGTCAATGATATAAAATACAAACGGATGATTGACTTCTAGGTGCTCCATACGCATCCTTTTATCCGCATTAGCTCCTAAATATTTAAATTTTTAAATATTTGAAATAAATAATTTTTTTAAATACAAACCTTTACCAGCTGTTGGTGTTGTACCCTTTTCATCAACCGTAATAACAGTCTTTTGAACTATTTCAGCAACTTTTAATTCACTTTCATAGTCAGTCATTAATTTTAAATTGGCATTTGTAAATATTTCGTTTAGGCCGATGCTTTTCAGCATATCATTTAGAGTGATTTTAAATTCGAATTTGAATTTTGGTAAATGTAGATGTAATCGGTTTAGTTCGCTTTCACGTAATATATCGTTGATATTCACTTCCGTGAGGTGATCGAGGAGTTTGTTTATGCCATCCATGGCTCGCGGCAGAAGAACAACCATAGTAATATTTGAGTTGGCATAGGGCAATGATATGGCATCAGCATCCAGTTCCTTAACGAATTTTCTCAAAAAGAAACTGACTCTGTTCATCATGTCAACCTTAACAGTTTTCGTGGTTTTTCCTTCCTTTGGTACATAGAAGGGTACCTTCTCTGTAAGAGTCTCATCGAATGGAAATTGCCATTGCCCATTAAAGGAAATCGCGCTAGCAAGTATCATTTTCTCATCTCCGTTAAGCTTTTCAATTAGATTAGTGATTTTGTTATCAGTTTGTTGGGCTACCCAGCGATTGATCACATTAACAGATTTGGGGTTGCTAAAGTCAATCCGATTAATATTAGTTTTGAATACTTTCTTTATCTTTTTTTCATAGTCACGTAAAATGTTCATTTCATTTGGCACATAAAAGCGATTACCGAATTTCAATGTTTCATCCTCAGCTGATTTCAATTCGCCTCGATCCTCGGACAAATACGAATCTATATCCGAATTCTTGTTTGTGAGAAAATTGGGTATGACACTTTTAAGTTCGTTGGCGCTCTGGCCTTCGGCTCCCAAATATAGTAGTGATAATCCTTCGGCTAACAGAAATGGCGATATGACAAAATTGTCGTTCGGGTATTCATTCTGTAGTTCTCTCATGAATCCGAACGTCTGCCCCACAAAGAATACGATGAGTGCTAACTGCACAGAAACTCGACAGACCTTACCCATGATTAAAGAACTAACTAATGTCGTGTCGAGCGCAGCCATTATATAGGAAATAGAGTTGGTTATGCAATCGCTGTAACACTATCGTAATATAATTATTTACGGCTCAATGTATTATTCAACAAGCGATATACTACTGTGTAAAGAACGAAAAAGCTACAGAACGAATTACAAATTTGATTTACTAATTATTTGCTTATTGTACCCATGTCAGCTTTTGATTTTTTTCATTATTAACAGTCTGATATTGTTTTCATCGTTATTACAAATCAATGGCGGCGAAAATGTTTTCCCCCATTACTTAATTTGTCAATAACTTTCTCAACTTTATGTAATGCAAATAAAAAAAAATAAAAGTCGAAAAATAATATAGCGAACATATTTAAAAGTACTAGCTGGTATATTTATTATCCAAACGTTTCATGGTGGATAGTAATATGTTGAAGATAAATATTCATAGTAGGTATTTATTGGCTACAGATTGAGTTAAAGTAATGCGGGCGATATATATGTTTTTGTGTATAGTAAAATATGTTTTATCCACAAACCCCTACAATATTTTAAATCTGAGCTCAGTCGCCAACGCTCATGGTTAAAACGTTTTATGCGCTTATTGCATTTTAATGGGTTTTATGAAGCGCTGAACAGCAGCCAGAGATGCAGCTATATATTCTCTAACCTAATGCGCACACATTTTATACAGGATACGCACACACACACACACACACACACACACACACACACGCTCAAATATGGAACGTTAGCCTAAGCGCTTGCCACTTTATTTCGCCATGGTCTGTCTGTTTATCTTTGTCGCTGCCGCTCACCTTGGAGCTGGAGCAGGCGAGCTTCCAGTCGCCTGCTGCGAGTTGCCAGTTGGCCGTCTGATCGCCCACGGTGTGGCATGTCAGTGAGCACTTACACTAATTTCCAGTTATTTGCATGCAAAATTACCCAGCAGCAACCAGCTACTAGCAACACCCAACACAAACACAACCAACATCGACGCGTTCTTAGATTTCCCTGCTCGTCGCATGGCGGGCAATTATAAAGGTAAATTGTGTTAATTTTAGTTTTTTGAGAGAGGCCTCCCTGTTTGACCGCAATTGCCTGGCGATATCATTTATCATACGACCCCGATTACTGGACACAGTTACGCACTTGCTACCCCTGGCCGTTGCCTGAGCCACCCACATTCTTCCCAAGTTGCCGCCACAAAAACTGAACGCACGTGGCAATCAAAACGCACAGCGTGGGCGTCAGCTCATGCGGCACACGCCCACACACTTAGATGCAAAGCGGTTACAATGTGGAGTGTGTTCTTTCCTGGCCCAGACAACACATATATCAGGCGATTTGATCAATTAGTTCTTTTGACAGCTCTGTTGGAGCTCGTGGGCTAACAAACTAATCAATTTAATCACGTGCAACAGCAAATGGACTTCCAAGTGGCTTATTAAAGCCATTCCTAGTTTTGACAGATTCAATCAATTGCTTATAACAAAGAGCAAAACACATTTGAAGCCCGGCAAAGAAACAATATTTATAATTTTTATTTTTTTAATAATATTAAAATTGAAAGATCATATTCTCATTTACCCTGCTGTTTTTTTTTTCTTTATAGCTAACATAGATAATCTGATATAATATAACTCAATCACTATTTCATCCAAAATAATATATTAAATTACCATCTACACCGGGTCGCCCTGCATCTACAAGTAAAATACAGTAGCAAAACATCGCCTTTTTATACTGTTTACATGCACACATACATTCACACAATTACACTACTATATTCATGCATGCATATGTCTTTCATATTTTCTACAAGCATTAAAGAACACCACCTGCACCCGGTCATCCAGCAGCCATACGTTGCCTTTTTATACTGTTTGCTTTTCTCCTGGTGAGCATACATGAATGATCAGAATTTCATATTTTTATACAAAACACATTGCACACCCACACTTATTACATAATCTGCAACGGGCCACCTCAATAATTCAACTAAAACCCAGCTGCAACTAGCAGCCCTTTATATACTGCTTGTTCTTCTTCTTACGAACATACATGTATGATCTTCTTTTATGCTCGCAGCTTCAACTAAAACATCAGCTTCAATAGGCAGTCTTTTTTATACTGCATGTTTGTTCGCAAAAAGAAGAGCCAGCAGTATATAAGGGGCTGCTCATTTCATCAAAGTCTTATTTGAAGCTGCGTGGCTAGCCGGTCGTGTGCGATGCGTGTGTGTATGTATACAAATATGAAAAGCGGATCATGCAAGTATGCTAGCAAAAAGAAGAACAAGCAGTATATAAATGGCTGCAATATGGAGCTCACTTTCAATTGAAGTCGAGAGCCGGTCCGGTGCAGATAGTGTGATTTTATATTTGCATAAAAAATCTGGGTTTTAGTTGAAGTCGCGAGGTGGCCCAGAGAAGATATTGTAAAAATGTAATTTTTTTTTTTGTGCTTGAATAAAAATATGAAATGCAGATCAACAGTGTAAACTTGCAAGACGAAGAGTCAGCAGTATAAATAAGGCTGCCCATCGATGTTGGGTGTCAGTTGAAGCTGCGGTCCATGGCCGAAGCTTCTTAAAAAGTTGTTTAATTTACTTCATATAAATCGGTCGGCTGATATATTTGAATGTTGATTGAATTGTATTAAAGAGTACAATGATTTAGAAAAGCCAATGTGTTTTAAGTATTTTCGTTTCCTTTATTAAAGTAGAGGATTGCGAACTTGTCCGACAAAGTAAATTCTCTCGTCGTCAATGATATAAAATACAAACGGATGATTGACTTCTAGGTGCTCCAGAAACATCCTTGTAGCCGCACTTCCTTCTGAAAAATGTTTAATTTTTGTAATATTTAAAATAATTGATTGTCTAAAATTCAAACCTTGAGCAGCTGCTGCTTTTGTACCCTTTTCATCAACCGTAATAACTGTCTTTTGAACTATTTCAGCAACTTTTAATTCACTTCCATAGTCTGTCATTAATTTTAAATTGGCATTTGTAAATATTTCGTTTAGGCCGATGCTTTTCAGCATGTCATTTAGAGTGATTTTAAATTCGAAGTTAAATTTTGGTAAATGTAGGTGTAATCGGTTTAGTTCGCTTTCACGTAATATATCGTTGATATTCACTTCCGAGAGGTGATCGAGAAGTTTGTTTATGCCATCCATGGCTCGGGGCAGAAGAACAACCATAGTAATATTTGAGTTGGCATAGGGCAATGATATGGCGTCAGCATCCAGTTCCTTAACGAATTTTCTCAAAAAGAAACTGACTCTGTTCATCATGTCAACCTTAACAGTTTTCGTGGTTTTTCCTTCCTTTGGTACATAGAAGGGAACCTTTTCTGTAAGAGTCTCCTCGAATGGATATTGCCATAATCCATTAAAGTAAACCGCGCTAGCAAGTATCATTTTCTCATCTCCGGTAAGTATTTCAATTAGATTAGTGATTTGGCTATTAGTTTGTTTAGCTATCCAGCGATTGATCACGTTAACACTTTCGGGGTTGCTAAAGTCCATCCGATTAATATTAGTTTTGAATACTTTCTTTATCTTTTTTTCATAGTCACGTAAAATGTTCATATCATTTGCCATATAAAGGCGATTACCGAATTTCAATGTTTCATCCTCAGCTGTTTTCAATAGGCCTCGATCCTCGGACAAATACGAATCTATATCCAAATTCTTGTTTGTGAGAAATTTGGGTATGACACTTTTAAGCTCGTTGGCGCTCTGGCCTTCGGCTCCCAAATATAGTTGGGATAATCCTTCGGCTAACAGAAATGGCGATATGATAAAATTTTCGTTCGGGTATTCATTCTGTAGTTCTCTCATGAATCCGAACGTCTGCCCCACAAAGAATACGATGAGTGCTAACTGCACAGAAACTTGACAGACCTTACCCATGATTAAAAAACTAACTAATGTCATGTCGAGCGTAACTATTATATAGGGAGGAAATAGAGTAGGTTATGCAATCGTTGTAACACTATCGTAATCCAATTATTTACGGCTCATACATGAATAATACAACAATTCAACAAGCGAAATGCTGAATTTTTACAAAAACGAAAAAGCTACAGAACGAATTACAAATTTGATATGCATATAAATATATATAATACTAGCTGATATTTCTTGGTCTTAGTTTTAACTTCTAAATTTCGACATCAACAGCTACCCGTAAGTCCTGAATCCTGCTTCTCAAGGTATATTTTAAATAAATGTTTAAAGCCCATTAAATTAAGAACTAAAAGTTGGTAACAGGGTTCTGTAATGTGAAGCTAGAAGCCACAAAATACAGTTTCTTGCATTAAATCTTTTGACTCCCATTTCCACCAAGTACCGATGGATTATACGAAATGTGTGAAGCATCTATTAAATGTATTAAAACATACATTTTTGAAATTGGATGGTAAACAGAACCATTGTATACGTTCCCGAACATCCGTCTTGGCGTGACTGAAACTTTCATATTCAGTCAGTCAGTCAGTTTTATATATAGAGATAGTAAGCCTATAGATATAGAAAGCTAAACTATAATTTTGACGGTTAACTGGATATTTTAATGCAATATAATTAAAGTAAACAAAACGCAGTAATCTATATGAGCGCACATCCACACAACACAAACATAGGTATGTTTGCTACCCCTGCCCAAGTTGCCGCCACAAAAACATGTGGCAATAAAAACGCACAGCGTGGGCGTTAGCACATAGGGTGTTCTCTTCTGGCCGAGACATCAATAACTTACACAGACATCAGGAGATTTGATCAATTAGTTCCTTTGACAGCTCCGTTGGAGCTCGTGGGCTAACAAACTAAACAATTTAATCACGTGCAACTGCAAATGGACTTCCAATTGGCTTATTAAAGCCATTCCTATTTTTGATAGATAAAATCAATCGCTTAAAACAAAGATCAAAACATTTGAAGTCCGGCAAAGAAACAGTATTTCTAATTTTTATTTTTTTAATGATATTAAAATTGATAGAT